GAGATGGGGCAAGTACAATAAAGACATGGGAAAACAGAAAACTGTACTAGAGAAAGTAGTTCAGAGTTCAGGGTCATAGTTGTAAAATGGTTCCAAGTATTTGCTTATCAAACCACCAAAAGTAGCCATGCTTAGGAATAACTAAAGTGGAGTACAGACAGACACTGCCATTGTTGATATCAGAAAGAAAGATAATGTCAGAGAATTAGGACAGTCCTTGGAGAAAAGTGCGGTTGGTTTTGTTTCATTTTTTTCTATTCTGTAAACCCATTGCCAACCTTGTACCTGCCTGGTATATAGCAGGGATTCAATTACCATTCGTTTGTTAGATGGATGGATGGATGGATGGATGGATGGATGGATGGATGGATGGACAGACGAACAAACATTAAAACATTTAACAGTAATTTGTACTTCTCTGTTTTCTATGCCTACTGAACCATCACCACCATCAGGTCTTTGCCTCTGGCTTCTTTTTCCCCCCTTTGGTTTTGTTGAGAAAGGGTCTCACTATGTAGTTGCAGTTAATCTGCTAATTCACTAGTAGTCCAGGCTGGGCTGAAATACTGGGCAATCCTCTTACTTCAGTCTCCTGTGTATTAGGGTTATAAGCATATGTTATCATCACTAGTGTAGGAAATAATAGGTACTTACTCTGAGTTTAAGTGAGTGAACAAATACTGAACCACAGAGAATAATGACAAGGGAAGAGAAAGGTTAAAATTGAATTTTAATAGTAGTTGTTTAATGTAAGCAAATGATTTTGACTTCAAAGTGGAGATATGAAGCCAGGCCTACTGGCACAGGTCTATAATTTCAACACTCAGAAAGCTAAAGCAGGATGATTCATGAGTTCAAGACCAATCTGGACTACATAATGAGACCATATCTTAAAAACCAAAACAAATATGTATCTCCCATGCCAAAAAAAAAAAACAATGAGAGGAGGATATATGAACTGGGAAACGGTAATTTCTCCACATACCACCCATTCATAGTCCCCTACCCCTAACAATCTGCCTACCCCTCTCAAGTTTTTCCTCAAGTTTTTCCAGACTTAACCTGGCCATGCCTCATTCTCATATTGTCCTCATGACTAAAGAGCTTCTGTGTCCCTTGTGTCATTCCCTCTGCTGCTAGGCTTTGTGGTTTTGTCCTTACACACAACATCAACAGTCAGAGCTCTTAAGTATAATTTTTAGCAAGATCAGTACTTATAGATGTACAGGGGCTCCCATTTGACTGCCAAATCAAATGAAAACATAAGTAGTTTTCCATGTCCACCATCCAGCTTTCTGTAGACTGAGATGTATTCAGTGTACAAAATGCCTTACCTTTTTCAAAGCTTCTGATTACTGTTTTCTCTACCCATCCAGAGCCCGTTTCATCAGAACTCCCTGAAGACTCATTTTCCCTACAGCTCTAATGAAGACAACTGTTCCAGAAACACCTCCCTTCCTTTCCTTCCTCTCTCCTAATTACCAGTCATGAACATTATAGGTATCTTCTTTTCTTGGGTATCGCTCCATGTTACTCTATTAATTCTGTCATGGAAATTCCTCTCAAGTTCCTGTCTTTCTTGTGTCAGTGGCCTGTAGATGGTTGTAAAATCAGCCTTCAGTGTATTCTACACTTGAGTTCACTTATCCCCAACACACACAGTATACACATTTCATATATACATGCACACACATATTGTTTGACATGTTTCACACATTTTATATAAAAGCCATAGTAATTTATTTCTGTCTTTATATATCTTCACTCACAGTTTAGAGCCTGCATGCCACCTATACCCTCTTCTCTGAACCTCCTCTCCTCTTACTACCCTCCATAACCATCCCTGCAGCCAATTCCCCTAACTTTATTCCACAAGCCTTCAACTTTCTCTTTTTCTGCTGTGCTTTTTGTTTTAACATTCCTAGTAATCAAATTCGGGTCTTAACACCTGCTACCTTCTATGCTTTAAAAAGGCTTTAAATTTCTAATTAAATTTATTTATTTTATTGGGGGGAGACACATGTGCCATTGCTGCTTGTAGAGGTCAGAGGACAACTTCAAGGAGTTGGTTCTGTCTCTACTATATGGATACTGGAGATTGAACTTGGGTCATCAGGCTTGGCTGCAAATGTCTACCCACTGGGCTACCTCACTGGCTTTAACAAAACTTTCATTTCAAAATAATCATATTCAGAGGAGATTACAAAGGGAAGTCCTGTACACTTTCCTCTAACTCTGCCTAGTGTGACAACTTGTACAATTACAGTACATCACCAAAATGAAGAAATTATGTCGGTGTAGTTTATTGACTTCATTCACATTCCACCAATTTTGCATACATTCATGCATGTGTGTGTCTATGAAATTTTATCATATCTGAAGCCTCACATGACAACTATAATCAAAATACAGAACTATACCATCGCATGTGTCATGCTACCCCTATCCTGTCATAGCCATCTATAACTACTAACAATGACTAATCTCTTCCCTCTGCAGTTATGATTTTACAATGTTATATGAATGGAATATATATACATATATATATATAGAGAGAGAGAGGGAGAGAGAGAGAGAGAGAGAGAGAGAGAGAGAGAGAGAGAGATTGGCCTTATGTACTCAGCATACTTTCCTTGTAATCCTTCCAAATTCTTTGAATATAATAACAGTTTCTTTCTTCATATTGATGAATAGTATTCCACTGCTGTGGATGCTAGTTTTTCTAACCATTTACCTATTAAAGTATGTTTGGATTTTTTCCAATTAAAGCTATTTTGTGTAAAGATGCTACACACACTCATGTACAAGTTCCTTCATGAAAATATGCCTTAACTTTCTGGAATAAATTGCCCAAGAGTGCAATTGCTAGCTCATATGGCAAGTCTATTTTTAGTTTTGACAGGAACCGCTAAATTATTTTTCCAGAGTGGCTATACCATTTTACATTCCCACTAACAAGATATGTGTGATCTAGTCTCCACATCTTCACCAGGAATTATTATCACTGTTTCCTCCTAGCCATCTTGAGAGTTGGCTCGTATATGGTGCTTCTCATCTTTCAGTACCTAAAGAGCCTTTATAGCCTTGGTAAAGTCTTTTCTAACATCACCTGGAGAAGCTCACTTCTTCTCTCCCGTGTGCCATCTCTGATACTTCATTTATCATTGCATTTTAATTATTTACTGTCAGAGTCTGTGTATTCCCCTCTATTCTGACCTACATGATGATACAGACCATGCCAGATTCCTCTTGATTCCTGAAGCAACGGTCCAGTTCCATTCTGGGCACATAGTGGGTGCTCAGTAAGTGTATGCTAAGTGAAAGGAAGAATGAGTGGAAAGAATGGTAGCCCCTCCCCACTAGAAACCTTTTTAAAATAGGTATCACGCCTTCCTCTGTGTCTCCCAGTAGCAGTTAATAGGGTGCTCTGTTTGTGTAGGTGCTCAATAAATGTCTCCTAAACTGTTAAGGTGGCTTATCTTCCCTCTGCACCCATGAGATAAGCACATGAAAGAGAAAACAGACCTACGAATCCTTGCATTAAGGATCATATGTCATAAATTTTGTAATATTCTTATAATCTTTACAATCACTCAGCATTCATCTGTGTGATGAAAAATCAAATCAAAATAGTCCTTTAAGCCAAAGAATGCCTCTGCAACCATCATTTCATACCCTGGTTACATATGAATCGGGGAGGGCAGTGTTTTGTGTTCCTGAATTCCTTTTGCCATCTCAGAAGGATCTGGGATTTTTCTGTTTTTCTGCACTGGTGTAATTTGACATGTTGATTATGAAAGGGTCATTAACTTCAACATTTTTGATCACTTTTTGACTCTGTATTTTCTCAACTCTGAAGTCTGTTAATTTGCACTTGTTTATATGTCTCTGTAAGACTTACTCTGGCCCTTGAGGACTGGGATATGTTTTGTCTGGAAAGTAGATTGTAAGCCCCTTGAGAGCAAGGACCTTATAATTCCTAGGAATGCATTCTGGGCATTGTCAGTGTTCAATTAATGATAATATTGGAAGCCTGACTAAGGTTACCTGTCACATGGACATTTCCCTTTTCATCTATAAGGCTTCATGCCCTCTGCAAATAGCAGTTAGGCTGATTTGATAGCATTGATTCTATCCAAAATTACACTATTGGCCATTGCAACTTGTTCTTTTGGGTACTTTCAAATTGTAATTTTTGATCAGTTGATACTGTTCTCCTTCTAATACCGTGGTTGCATATGCACTGGGGAGGACTGTATTTCAGAACCCTCAAGTCTTCTGCATAATGAAAAGTAAGCTGATACCATCGAGGCTTTCAAGGCCTGTGCTTCTTGCCCCCACTGATAATTAGGTGATAAACTCCAAGTGTGATTGCTATCTCAAATCATCAGAAGGAAACCTTCATAACTATTCAATGCATATGTTTTGTTTCTCTGGTTTCTAAAATGGAATAAATGTCTATACTATGCTCCATGGTTATGAAAGCTATGAAGCGTTCAGTGAAGTCTAGGTTCTGAAATAAAAAGGGCGAATTTGTTCAATTGTGGAAGTAGGGGAATTGTTGTTATAAGTCAGGTTTATTGAAGTATAAAACACATACAGCCAGGTTCACCCTTTAAGGTGGACAGTCTGATGTGATCCACAGGTTACATTTCAATTACTGGATAATTTAGCTGTCCCTCCAACACACTTTACTACACTGCAAAGCCCTAACTAAAACTCATCTTTTTTCTGATAATCTGTGTTCTTCCTCTTTCCAGTGTACTAAAGGAAGTATACCAGGCCTTCAATCCTAAAGCAGTGGTTTTACAGCTGGGAGCAGATACCATCGCTGGAGATCCAATGTGCTCCTTTAACATGACACCAGTGGGGATCGGCAAGTGTCTGAAGTATGTCCTTCAGTGGCAATTGGCCACTCTGATTTTAGGAGGAGGTGAGTACAAAGGAAAGTCACCAAGAGAACTTGTCAATCTTCCTCCACACTTTCCTGGCATAGAAGATACGTTGATTTTCTTGCATTGGGTAGTACTAACCTGCCTATTGCCCAGAAGTCTAAGTCACCTGTACACGTTCAGCATAGACTCCGTCTCATACCTAGTCACTTTGGCATGTGCTTTAATACCTAGGCACTCTGAAGTTTGTTTTAAATCTGAAATAAAGGTTAAAAGTAGAACACTTGCCTAGAATACACAAGACTCTGTGTTCAAACCTGAGCACTGAATAAAAAAGAAGAAGCCGGGCAGTGGTGGTGCACACTTTTTTCCATCACTCAGGAAGCAGAGTTAGGAGGATCTCTGTGAGTTTAAGGCCAGCTTCGTCTACAGAGTGAGTGCCAGGACAGCCAGGGCTACACAGAGAAATCCTGTCTTGAAAAAGTAAAAACAAAACAAAACAACAACAAAAACACAAAACAAAAAAGAAGAAATTATCTCAGATTATAAAAGAGGATGTCAGCCCCCAAAGACTGTGAGCCCTCCTCTGTCAGAGTAGTCATTAATTTTTTTCTCACCATCATGTTTTGGAAACACACTAATGAAATTCTATCTCTATTCATACATGAATAGTAAATACATGAATTAATTAAATATCTATGATGAATTCAAGAATTACTTGTTTCCCCTAAAACATGATTTTGTTATAATGAAGCAAACTTGAGACATCCATAATCTCTTGAGCATTTTTGCTTCCCTCATAATGGGTATTTACATTATTTAACTAACAGAATGCTAGGTCTGTTTGATAGAAGCATTTATGTATTTGGAACCTTACTTGACCTCAGTCACCTTTATAGGTGTCTTAGGATAGATCTTCTGTCTCTTTACCAGCCACAGTCTTTATTTCATTGGATCAGTAAATTGGTGTATTAAAATATGGTCAAGTAGAATGAGATTAAAATGCACATATATGTCACCAGGCATAGCAGCACATGTCTGTAATCCCAGCACTTGGGAAATATAATCAAGAGGCTTGGGAGTTAAGGGCTATCTTGAGCTACATTAGACCTTGTCTCAAAAATGTACAAAACAGTACATATATGTAGGCTAGAGGGATTGCTCAATGGTTATGGACACTTGCTGCTCTTGGCAAAAGACCGAGGTTCAGTTCCCAGCCCTCACATGACAGCTCAACCTTTTGTAACTCCCTCTTCTGTCTCTGTGGGCACCCAGCATGTATATGGTATACCTGGTGGCAAAATACTCATATACATAAAATATTTGTAAAGAAATTAAATGCATATATGATGAACAAACTAATAGTTTTATCATCCTCTAGTTAAATCCAAGTTCAGGTAAATTCTGGGAAGGCCTTATGTAAACAAGTGAGCATGCAGCACAAATACACCAACCTAATCCTTTGACATCTTCAAACCCCAGAGGGATCAAAATTAAAACACTCTTTTATGAAAAGCTGGCAAGAAATATATTAAGTTCATCTCCAGAAAAAGATAAAATTTATAAGCATTGCATGGCATATTGCTTTCCTTAACAACACTAAGGATGGTAATTATGGTACAGGTCCAGCTAGGACAATAGACATCTGTGAGAATTTAACTTTTTTCTGAGGCTACAGCCTTCTCTTGAAGAGTCTATTAGCATTAGCTCAAGTCATTTTGCCTTTTTAACCTAAAGCTTGGCTCTTGAATATGTAAGTATAACACTTCTTATGCAGTATATGCATTCCTGAAAATGCCTGTGCATAAGTGAAATTTTTGCAAATCAAGTAATATTATGTATATACTAGAGATAGCATACTCCTTAAATAAAACCTATAGTGATTCTTTTCTAAATTAATAGCTATGCCAAATAAGTCTGCCTTACAGACTAATTTTCCATGCCAAGAAAAGTAATATCCAACTGTATAGCTGAAATTATCTGCTCTCATTAACACATAGACAATTAGTGGAGACAGCTGCATTCCCAAGCTTCTTCAGACCAGTCCCACTGAGGCCTGAAAAACACACTCCAGAAACCTAAGCCTCCCTGACCTTTCAAATAGTAGGAAAGCTTAAGAAAAGGGTAATGACAGGTCTCAGGTTATACATGTTAGCCCAGTGTAACAAGGAATAGTGTCCTCTATTGCTCTTCAAAGCGTATCATTTTGGATGCTAATGTATATGGTCACCCTACCTAAAATAGAGCTGGTTTTATTTCCTTTGGTCTGCTCTGAGGTTAGGAAATCATTCTATTTTACCCTTATACTCTTGGAATTTAGCTAAAGGCCAATGTTCTAGTGTTTGCATGGCAAAGCACATCCATTCAGCACAAAAATATGCTGATTATTAACCAGTGTAATATGGCTGCTGGGTGACTGTGACAGGACCTGACACGATGGGTCAGGGTGTCAATCATCAGTCCCTTCCTCGTCTCACTTTCTTTGATCTCTGCCACCAGGCTTGCGTTTTGTGGTGGAAAGGAATGCTGATATTAAAAGAAGGAAGTCTGTTTCTGTCAGCACTTTCCTTTTCTTTTTCCTGGATGCCTCTAGGACTAGATCTGCCAATAGCTTTAAAATACAAATCACACCCAGCAGTCACTTTATAGAATTGTTGCAAAATTCATCTGAGAAACCATCACATCGGGTAGGTCACCTCCAGACATCTGGGTTCCAGGATTCTCCGTCTCACTAATGTCTCTTGGTGGAACTGAGGTAGTTGGCTTCCTTGGGTGCATATTTGCTAGGAGATGAGAGCCTCTTTAATCTATGTTGACCTTGAAATTCCAAGTTCTACTTTGTGCATCATCTGACTGGTCCCCAAAAGTCTACCCACGAAGTGATTAACAAATATCATTAAGGATTGTTTAAGTAAGATTCTGCCAGTTGGAATTGTCTCTTTAGACCTTTTATTAAAACCATTTTCTCTCTTTCCTTACCCCCTTCCCTCTCCTGTTTTGTGACTATTCTTTCCCTAACTTCACAATTCTTGATGGAGACAGGAGGCTATAACCTTGCCAACACTGCTCGTTGCTGGACATACTTGACCGGGGTCATCCTAGGGAAAACACTATCCTCTGAGATCCCAGATCATGAGGTAAGTAAGGCTCTGACAAGTCCTCTCTTCTTCAAGGGGAAGAGCTGAGTCATTCTACCTAATCAAAATCACGTCCTCACCACTCAATACCGTTTTGTTGAGAGACACTTCAATAACAATAACACACTGTTTTGGCAGAATAGTGGACTCTTGTTCCAAAATAGCCAAGACCTTCTGCCTTTTTTTTTTATAAAAGCTCTCAAAGGCCAACCAACTTTAATTTCTCAATTAATTACAGAGACTGTGGGAAGGGGTCACCTGTTCATACAAAGAACTCTTTGGAATGCATACTTATTTTCAGCCCCTAGCCTCAAAAGGGAAGAGGTTCATTTTTAAATACATAAGCTAGGTTTTGGTCTGTTTTCACGGGTGCCATAGGTGAGATGTGACACATATTCTTTGGTGGTCATCCTGTTCTCTCAATTGTCTTTGACTAATGTAAATTTCAGGAACCATATATAATCATTATGAAAGTTAGGTCTGGTGGGTTTCCAGCAATTAGAGGTACAGACATTGGGGCTAGACCATCCAAACTGTGAAACGTGTCATCTGAACTGTTGCCATTTTCCCTAATCGTATGAGATAGCCTTTACAAACAGAGATGTCTGTTTTAGTTTTCCAAAAACAAGTACTAATAACTGTCTGGGACTTGTGAGTGTGCAGATAATCACTAATTCAAAGGTGTACCCCATCTATTCCCACCTACTTCCTCCCCTGGCAAGGAGTACTTTACCACTGATGAGGCTAGAGCCACAAACCTTAGACTGTATAACTTAAAATAACAAAGCAGTCTATGAAGCCCTCCTTCTCCAGCTATTTCTCAAAGATGAGGGATAGTGCTTTGCTTGTAATGTTATGATTTCTGCCAAATGTATTGCTGTATACTTGAGAGCATTATGCTTTATGAAGTCACTATTATTTTTTTAAATTAGAAGTAACTTAAACTAATTTGCTTCCAATTTTCCTCTAACCATAGGTGAGGTATAATATATAACTCAGAGAAACCACTCAATATGTCTAGAATACAAATAGAAGGCATGCTGTAATTTGAGACAATTTGCCGGTGTCAGGGTTAATGGAAGTCTCTTTTCTTGACTTGACTTACCTTTATTCAGTATTTGGAAGCTTAATGAAATATAAAGGTAAGTGCTGTGAACAAATGTAATTGCTGTTATTGCTGTGGGAATATCTCAGATTGCATTGTAATTTAGAGCACTGGGACTCTAAAAACTGATCAACTTATGTCAGAAAGCAGCCATAAGCTGTAGAAGTCTGAATTGAGAGTGAGTGTTGTGTTCCTCAGAAACAAAAGCAAATCTAATGATTCATCTGTACTAAAGGAGTGATAAAATTTTAATAAACTCAAATATTGCCTTTGGTACCTGGAGAAACTATGCACGTGAACAGATGTAGGTGTAGCCTTATGGATTGAGATGCTCTATCTTTATATAGATTCATTCTACAAGATTAAATGAGATGTAAAGCATGTCAAGTGCCTGAGACACAGTTTGTGGCACCTAATAGACATTTCAGAAATGCAGGTTCTTACTTCCCTTTCTCATGTTCCATGCTTCTTATACCCAGACGTTTATGACTCTGTCATTCATAAATTTGTCCAAACCCTTTGTGAATCCCTTCTGTCATATTCTTCTGGTAAAAGATATATGAGTCATCCAAAAAGGAACAAAGAAGAAAATTGAAATGACAGTATTCATGTACAATGAGATGTCATTTTAATGAAAATTGCCAAAAATAGACCACACAGTATGAAGGCATATATAAGTTTGGTGTCACAATACACAATTGTGCACAAATATCCTTGTTGTCTTCTGCAATAAAATCAACAAATGGTAGATAAAAATATTTTCTGTGTATCCAGTATTTGGTAGGAACTGTACTACTCTCAGTGTCTTAAAGGATACAAAGGTCGGGAGGACCTTATCCCTATCTCATGTGGCTGGAGAGGGAGAATGTGCCTGGGGAGCTCTGCTTGTACACAGATAATGCTAATGCAGAGGAGAGCAGGGGCTCTAAAGCTAGACAGGCCTGCTCACACAGACCTATAATCTCAGCATTCTGGACACTAAAGCAGGAAGACTGTGGGTTTGTTTTTTTTTTGTTTTTTGTTTTTTTTTGTTTGTTTGTTTGCTTTTTGGTTTTTCGAGACAGGGTTTCCCTGTGGCTTTGGAGCCTATCCTGGAACTAGCTCTTGTAGACCAGGCTGGTCTCGAACTCACAGAGATCCACCTGCCTCTGCCTCCCGAGTGCTGGAATTAAAGACGTGCGCCACCAACACCCGGCAAGACTGTGGGTTTGTAGCCATCTTGTGCTCCACAGCAAGTTCCAGGTCAGGCTGGGCCACTTAGGAGACCTCATCTTAGTTTTAAAACAAAAAAAATGGTGGGGGCTGGAGAGATGACTTAGTGGTCTCAACGACTGAAGACCCAGTTTTGAAGACACCCATGTTGTAGCTTAAAACCATCTATATCTCCAGTTCTGGGGGATCTGACACATTTTTCTGGCCTTCACAAACACCAGACATATCAATGGTGCATTAGACATACATGCAAGCGAAATACCCTCACACATAATTTTTTTCTGAGGAATCAGAAGATGATAGGAACAGTGACTATGGAGATGTGCACCAACTATGAAGGGAGTACAAAGGAGAGCACAAAATACCCTGCCCTCCGGGAGCCAAAAAGGGACTTGAGAAATACAGTCAGCACAGTCACAAGGTCAAGCTATTGCAACAGTCAGCTATGCTATGGCCCCGCTGACCTTCTCACTATCTCTGCTCTCCTTCTTGGACTTTGTCCATCCATCTCCTAGGATAATACTCATCCTCCTCCTCCCAATGGCCTTTTCCCATTTCTGTGCTGTCTTCCTAGGTCTAGCTGCATTCCCCGTGACTTTCAAAACCCTTTAGCCTAAATAAACCAAGACCTTTTGAGCTATTCCTTTACTCCCTCCTTCATTGAACAACTATTCATGGGACCCCTACTACTTGCCAGGGCATTTTCAGATCTGAATTCAGATACACAAACAAGGTAAACCCAGTGTTCTCAAAAATGCTGCCCTCTAATTGAGGCAACAAAGCAATGTGTTCAAATCCAGGACAGGCAGGGAGCAAAAGGGAGCTCTATTAACAGACCATTGAACTCCGCTGAGAGTGCTGGTGCACAGTTGTAATCCTAGCACTCAGCAGGCTGAGGCAGAAGGATCACAAGTTCAAGGATAGCATATTCCAGAACCAACCAGTGAGACCCTGAAACTTTGAACTGATTATTCAGAACTGATTGAGAGTTTGGTAAGTGATGAAGAGATGAAGAGGAAGGTCTGTACAGTGCACAAAGGGGACAGAAATGGGAAAGAACAGTAAGAAATGTACTATGTCTATAACACGGGAGTATATGAGAGAATAGGAATGCTTGGGGCTTTAGTGGTAACTGTGACCAGATATAAACATCCTTAAATGCTGCACAGGTGAGCCTGTAATTTTTTTCTCTAAAATAAAAAAAAAAGGTGAACTTGGTTTTTAGAAAATTAACTTGGGGCTAGAGGGACAGTGCAGTGGTTTTAAAAGCAACATAAAGCCAGCAACCAGGAAGTTGGCATTAGCCTAGGAATTGAGAAGCCAGGTTGGACAGGCAAGCATGAAGTCAAGAGACATCACAGCTGGGAAATCTTGAGAGAAATGGAGCGTGTGTGTATGATTGGGCCCTGAAACTCTACCATGGGGAAGCCCAAACATGACATGAGCCCATAAAAAGTCCAGTACATGGATAAGTAGCACTATTCCATGGAAAAATAGTCTGTAATCTAGTTTTACTATTTAGATCCCCTGATCTATGTTTGAGTAAAGTAGTTTTATGGACAGGTTGAACATTTATATCCAAAAATCTGAAATCTTTTTGAGCAGCAACTTAATATACATAATCATCAGTTTTAGTAACAAAAAATATTCCACCAGACTGCTTTTGATAACGTGGTTAAGAAACTATCTTGTTCATATTTAAAAAATACATGTAGCCATTAAAATAAATTAAAATGATTTATATGAATTGATGTTACTAATATAAAGGTTTTTGATATAATCCACTGAATTTATATGTATTTTTATGAGTAATAATGTCTTAATAGTTAATCTAATCCTTGAACCCATTTACTTATATAGTCTTAAATTTCAAATTTTAATTTAAACTCTATAATAAACAGTCCTTACACAAATTTTGTTAAATTTATTCTTTTTTTGTTAAATTTATTCTTAAGTTATTTCATAGTACTGATTTTTTTGTGCATGGAGTATCCTAAGTGATTTCTATGTGTTCGTTGTCAAAATATAGATCTTAAGTAGAATATTGATCTTGAATAATATAACCACGTTCCTTGCTTTTTTCTGTAACTTCTTAGCATGTTCCTTGTATATGAGCATTTCATCTATGAATTTAGAATTTTAAGTCGCCTTATACAGTCTTTATGCTTTTCTTTCTTTTTTTTCTTTTCTTACTGCACTGTTTATAACTGTGGGTTAAGAGCATCAGTACAGTATTGAGTGAGAATACTATGAACATCCTTACCTTTGCTTGTTCCTATTCAACGAGAGAAAGTACTTAATTTTTCCCTGTAAAGTGTGATGTTAACCATAGCATTTTTCCCCAAGCATATTTTTATTAAGAAAAGAAAGTTGTCTTTTATTTCTAATTAAAGATGTTTTCTCACAAATGAATATGGAATTTTGTTAAATGCTTCTTCTTCATCTACTAAAATATTTCATCTACTAAAATTGTCTAGCATCCATTATTGTGTTAGAATAGTGATTTGCACTGACTTTTTTCATATAAAATAACTGCATTCCTGGGATAAGACCTACGTGGTCATGATGTATTATCTTATTTAGTTTGCTGAAACTTGGTCAAGGGTTATTGTGTCTTGATGAGGAATATTGGCCTGTTGTTTTCTTGCAATGTATTTATCTGGTTTTTATATCAGAACAATAG